ATATGATACTTTTATGCAAATTATATATTTAATATCATTTTGTTCTTGTAATGTTTGAATTTTAAGTCTATTTCATGCAATTTATCACTTGTCGTTTTACATCTTGTGTAATTTTATGTTTCATTTGTATGTTAATTTGTTATTTTATAGTTCAATAGAAAGTTAATATGTCATCCTTTAACATATTATTTTTGAGTACAACAACATCAAGCCTTTATCCCACTACGTGGGGTCGGCTACATGAATCCTTTTTCTCCATTGTGTTCTATTAAAAGTCAAATTCTCATTTAAACCTAATAAAGAAAGGTCATTCCTAATATTTTCTAACCAAGTCTTTTTAGGTCTACCCCTACCTTTCTTAACATAAGTCAAATCTAATACCTCTACTCTCCTAACCGGGTCATCGAAAGGCCGTCGTTTTATGTGACCAAACCATCTAAGGCGACTCTCTCTAATTTTATCTTCTACTGGAGCTACTCCAACATATTATTTTTGAGTATTATATAAAAATCACTTTTAACATTTATTTTCACATTTGAGGCTTATGCCTCGTGTCACGAACAAAAAATGCCTCAATACCCAATTGCGTAATTTTAAACCTTGAATCCAATGAAACATTCTATAAGATGCTTCAAAAGATTATGCATTCAATAAGGATGCAAACGAGTCGAGACCTTGCGTAATCAAGCCAAGCTGGTTTAATTTATATTGAACTCGAACTTGAATGAAAAATATGAGGCTCGAGCTCGACTCAAATGCTCAAACTTAATAAGAAAGCTCAAGATCAACTTGTTTTGGAGCTTAATTTCTTATCTTGAATCTAAACAAAAAATAATTAATTAATGGATGAGCTGTTACTTGTGTTCAAACACCATGTGGTTTGACCAAGTATTTTCCTATTTCAGTTGGATTGCATCAAGGATCAGCCGTAAACCCTTATTTTTTTGCTTTAGACATGGATGTTCTCACTAGACTTTTGCAAGAGGATATACCTTGGTTTATGTTTTTTGTTGATGATATTATTCATGTTGATAAGACTAGAAAGGAAGTTGAAGGTAAACTCGAATTATAGAGGTTAGCCTTAGAGTCTAAAGGTTTTCTTTTGAGTGGATATAAAACTGAATATATAGAGTGTAATTTTAATAGTAATAGATCTAGTGGAGGGTTTTTGACATTGAACGATCAAGTGATTAATAAGTGTACTTGTTTTAAATATCTTGGGTCTATTGTTCAAACTGATGGTGAAATAGATGGGAATATTATTAGTAAAATTCAAGTTGGATGGTTGAAGTGGAGGAATGCTTTGGGTTTGTTGTGTGATAGAAAAGTATCGCTCAATCTTAAGGAAAATTTTTATAAGATGATGATGAGACCTGCAATGTCTAATGGCGTAGAATGTTGGGCATTAAAAGAGAAGCATAATATTAAGTTAAGTGTTGCTAAGATGAGGATGCTTAGGTGGATGAGTAGACTTACTCTTAGAGATAGGATATGAAACGAGCATATCCGGGAAAAGGTTGGAGTAGTACCAGTGAAAGATAAGATCAGAGAGTCGCCTTAGATGGTTTGGTCATGTAAAACATCGGCCTTCCGATGATGCTATTAGGAGAGTAGATGTATTAGATTTTGTCTATATTAAGAAATGTAGAGGTAGGCCTAAAATAATTAGTTAGAAAACATTAGAAATGATCTTTCTTTATTAGATTTAAATGAGAATTTGACTCTTAATATGACACAATGGAGAAAACGGATTCATATAGCCGCTCCATGTAGTGGGATAAAGGCTTGATGTTATTGTTGTTGTTGTTGTAGGCTAATATAATGCCAATGTGTTAAGTAATATGAATTGATTCGGCTCGACAAGCTGAGTTGAGCCAAGCTTAAGCTTAAGATCATATGATATACGAGCTCGAATTTAAGCACGAATTCAAAATCGTGGCTTGATAAGTATGACTGGCTCACTTACACCCCTAGCATTCGAACACAAAAAGCCATTTATAAGTCAAATTAAATCAGGATCCACATGAAGAATAACTAACAATATTTAATAAAAAAATAGATTAATTCTAATCCAAGTGGTTCGAATGCACTATTCATCAGTAGCTTACCAAGAAGAGTCACATGGAAGTTCAGAAAGGCACTATGCACGTACTTAAACATATACAGAAATATTGATAATCAAAATCCTTTATTCTAACTTTTCATACCATATTAAGCTCCCTAATAGCCTAACTATGTGAATAAGCACAGAATTTAAGATCCAAAGCCCATGCACTACAACCGTCACAAATGAGAAATAAAAGAGACCTAAAGTTTTGCTTTTGCATATGCTCACTTCCAGAAATGATCACTGGAATCTAGCAAGTATAGAACACTCTTGAACACAAGCAACATCATGTAGCGATCCCGGACCCAAAACCAATGCCGTGGAAAAATTAGACCAAACAATTCAAACAAGACCAACATAGAAACCGCCTCCATGACATGTGGTCCACAAGACCAACATAGAAGCTGTTGCCATGACATGTCGTCCACAAGACCTAATCACACATGATGTGGAACATATGTTTATGAGAACCCTTTTAATGTAAGGGGAGGGGGGAAGGGAATTGCTCCTCCCTAATAAAAAAAAATTAGAATAAGGATAGTTTTGTAAATTTACCCCCCTCCGTAAAATAATTATTTTGCCCTACTCGACCCCTCGCTCTCGCTCTCTCGAATTATCCTGCACGGATGCCGCACTGTGGATTTGTTAGTGGAGCGCTACACCGGCAGTATCTGTTAACCTTCCGTTAGTTCTACTCTAGAGAAGGTTGAAAACTCCCGATTTCCCTCTCTTGACCGAAGCTACGAGCAAGACCTCACTTGGCTAGGGTTATGTTCGAGTAGCAGCTCTGATCCTCTCTGGTTTGTACGCCCCAACCCAATCGATCCTCCTCCTTCGCTCCATTGCTCTTATTTAGCAAGGGCATTTCCGTTGAAGCAGGTGATATAGCACTTTTCTTTTAACCTTCTTCATGCCCAATTCCTTTGTTGTCAAAGTATCGACAGTGGAAGAGCCCTCTCTTCATTAATTTTTGCTTCGATGAGAAAATTTGATACTTTTAAGAATTTCTGAAATCTATCAATTTATTCATTGCATTATCTCTGCGTCTCCAGCTTCTCATCACTGTTTTCATTTCTTTTGTTGTTTGGCCATTTTCATTGTTTGGAGCCGCTTAAATGATATTTGTAGTTTGGTTTTAATCTTGCTAATAGATAAAACAAGACATGAAAACTAGGCATTAAGGCTTGCACCGTGTTAATAGCTGATATTTGTAAATTTTGAAATCATCTCAATTCTATTACAATTTTTTGCAGGATGATACTTCACATCCTGCAAACGTCGTTTGCTTTCAATGTTTTGGATAAGTTCTAAATTTTATTTCTTGTTAAAAAAATGTAACAAGCAATTGGAAAAGTTATAGCAGGTAGAAAACAATCTAATAGTTAGTACTTTTACAACTGATATTCAAATAATTATCATGTTCTGTTTGTCCATTCTATTCCTACATTTCTTAAAATTTCACATTTTTTGTTCTTGTAAAGTTGTGTTTAAATACGAAACACCAATTTTTTTATAGGATATATCAAATGGAACGTTATTTAAAAAGGAAAAAATATTTGGAGACTAATGTTAATAATGACCCAGCTGATACTGGAAGTCGACCTTCAATTTGGTGTTACAATGTAAATGAAAGAGATAAAATTCGAAGAGCATATCTGTTGAAGGGACCCCATCAACCAAAAAGTCATCAATTCCCTCTATAGTATTTGACAATGTTGCACGTAGATTTAATCCAAAATGATTTGAGGAATATCCTGATTGGTTAGAATACAGCATGCAAGAAAATGCTATTTTTTATTTGTATTGCTACTTTTTCAAACCTTAAGATAAAACTATTACAGGATAAGGTGAGGGAGACTCATTTATTGGTGAATGATTCAAAAATTAGAAGAAGAAGGAAAATTTGTTGTCACGTTGGAGATCAACACGCAGAAATAATAACGTAACAAATTTACATTATTATAATGTGGAACTCTTTTACACTGTTATTGATATGCAACTTCAAAAGCTGAATAATAGATTTATTCGAAGCTAGTACTGAATTGCTTCTTTGCATATCGTGTTTAAACCCAAGTAACTCATTCTCTGCTTATAATAAGAAGAAATTAATTCGGCTTGTAGAATTATATTCAACCAATTTTTCTATAGTTGAACTTGTGGCTCTTGAGCACCAACTATACACATATTCGTGATATGCGTACAAGCAATGAGTTCTCATCTTTAGATAGCATTGTTGATCTTGCAAAATAATTTGTTAATGTTAAAAAAGATATTGTGTATCCCTTAGTTCACAGGCTTATTGTTTTAGCATTAATTTTGATCGTTGACATCGCTATAGTAGAGAGAGCATTTTCTACAATGAAAATTGTTAAACATAGATTACGCAATAAAATGGGTGATGATTGGCTCAACGATTGTCTCGTGCCATATATTGAGAAAAAAGTATTTGATTTAGTTCCAAATGAATTTGTAATGCAACATTATTAGAAACTGCAAAATAGAACACAAAGCTTGTAATTTTCATTGCAATATGATAACTTGTTTGAATTTTGTTATATATATAAATATTTCTTTACTTTTTATAAGTTTGCCCCCCCTAACGCCCCTGTTGAAAATGTACTAAGAAGGCATAAATTCAAAGCTATTAATGCACTCACATGGAAAATCATCTTGCAATGTCGTCTCTATTGAATCAAAAGCAAGAGCAATGGATGACAATTCTAACATATAGATGTATGACTGCTATGCATATCGTTGAATTCTGGTTAGGGCGGAATGAACAAATAGGTTTATAGCATTCATAATTTTAGGGACATAGAAAAAGAAAATTTTAAAATTTTGAGCAAACGTATTTATTAAGAGTAGGTAAAATAATTAAAATATTTACTCTACTAGGAAAAAAATTTCCCTAATCATGGCAGAAGGCAGAAACAAGAACACAAGTATAAAAAACATTGAGGGGAGGGGGACTTGCCTCAAAGGGGGTGACAATGACAAGGGCCTCAAGAACACCGGCGCCAAAACCGGACATCAAGCGGCCGCGTTGGGATAAGTCTCCCGTAGCCGAATCCTTGAACGCGGACTGGAAAAGGGCGTTGGAGCCCATCCGGAGAGCGTACTTGAGAGTAAGATGGGTGGCGAAGGGGGTCAAGCCTTTCCAAAGCGCGCGAACGCCCTCCGTCCGTACCACTGTTCTCCCGCAGTTGGCGATACCGCGGTACGCGCCGCTTTGATCCAGCTGTAGCCTTGTTTTGATCACGTCGATCGGCTGGAGGCAGCACGCCTCAACGATGCCACCAAACGACCCGGATATCGCCCTCACGTAAGGCGGGGTCGAATCCTTCCTCCCGCCGACCGAAGCCCTGACTCCGCCGCTGGCTGGAGACGCCATTGGTGTGAAGGGAGACGAGAAATTTAGTGCGAGTGAGACAATGGAAACAAAAGAATGTTTAATTGAAAAATTACGAGTATTTTACGCATATCATAAATGATTAAATCTTTTTATGTCATTTATATAACATTTAAATTTTTAGGAAGTTATTCGTTTAAAATAAAATGAGATATTATCCACTTTAGTCTAATAGTCTCAAAGTTTTATTTGATTGGTGTAATTTTTTAGGAGGTAACACATTCTAGGATTGCTTTTATACTAGGGGTGTCAAAAGACCTGAAACCCAACTAGGAAAATTCCGGGTGCGAGTTAACCCGTTTCTCAAATAGTTGGGTTTGGTTTGTAAATCTGATCCATTTGTAAAAACGGGTCAGGTTCAAGTTAACCCGGAAACCTGAAACCAACCTGTTCCAACTCATTTGTAATCTCGCATGACATGTCTCTTCAATCGGTCGTTGTGTCGTCGCGTCACTCAATACATTGTGTCACCACTGTCGGCTTGTCGTCGTCCCGCCCAAGCTAGGAGTTACCGCTGCCGGCTTGCCTACTGCTTTCTTCCCACCAGCACTGCTGCAATGTTGTTGCCGTCGTTGTGGCTTGTAATTCCGCCAGCGCAAAGAAATGGAAGAATGTTGCATACCACAATGCTGCTATCGTCCAGCCCGCATTGCCGCCACAGCTGTTGTCGCCGTCCAGCCCCAACTTCCCCAGCAGGCCTGTTGGCTATCGCCATCCCTCCCGCGTTGTCGGTGCCTCGTGACGAGTGCATGAATGTAACCCTCGCGGGTTGGGTCGGGTCAACACGATAACCCGCACGGGTTAGGTTCGGGTTGACAATCCTGACCCAATTGCAAAATTGAGTCGTGTTAGTGTCGACCCGTTTATGGCCGGGTCAAGTCGAGTTCGACCCGTTGACCCGAATAGACACCCTTATTTTATACGAACATGCTTAACTTTAACGTTTCTAATAAAATTTCAACCTTTACACCTAAATACGTCTCAATATTTAAGAATTTATCTTAGTTTTCTTAAGGGGTTTCACATAATTCAGATAATTGAAGTCCTCATCAGTTTCCTTAACCCATAATCATAAATCATGCATATAGAATTTTATAGGTAGAGATATCATCTTCTGACTAGTGTACTACTTTGATACTATTTGTACCATTTATACCAACTCAAACTCTCAATCATAGAGATATTGTCTATTTTGGCCTAACAACCTCACCATTTTGTTCTCTTGGTATAATTTCCTAGGAGATCACTCATCCTAGAGCTACTCCTATACAAACACACTTAACTTAGAAGTTTCTACTTAAATCTCAGCCATTACACCAAAATGCGTATTTGATATTTAAGTATTTAGCTTTATTTTTTTAAGGAGTTTCACAATTAGATTTGATTGATTTCCAAATATATTGAAAATTCTATGTTATTGTTTTCATAAGCCATCGTCGACGCCATTGGAAACTGCCACTTGCTACTTACTACTAGCCACCATCGTTGCCACCTAACACCATCCACTGCCATTGTAATGAACTCAATCTTTACATGATTAGAGTTCTGTTAATGGCCTATTAATAGTCTATAAGAAAACTTCAACATGCACGGAAATTTGAGTGAAAGTGTCACGGCGCTGTACTTACGAGCACGACGACGTTGGCCTCTCTAAATGGAGTTGTGATTGTGTGAGGTGGCAATGTTTCAGCTCTCTCTTCTATTATATAGTAACTTGAGGGAGTGCTACAACACTGAGATTTGGAGCATTGTGGCCCTGACACAATTAAAATTATTTTTTATATTAAAATATATACTTCCATTTATCAAAACCTCCCCACCACCATTCCCACCCCATTCTGTTGCATGGTCGGGTGGTAGAGGAAAAGAGAAGAGGAGAATGAGAGAGAGAGAGAGAGAGAGAGAGAGAATAGGGATTTAATAAATATTTTTCATCGCTCTTGTTACAAAAAGTGTTCTAATCATGTTAGGTAATTTTTATCCTATGTATGTTTTCAATGATTTTCTACCTCTCAAATCTGCTTAAAATGCTTGATCACTAATATAAATAATTTCTTTTGTGTAACTTTGGATACATGGTAGATATAATCATCATGAACATTTTGACACAATTATATTGAAACTTCATTAGTTGATTTTGTTTATATATAATTTTAACTAAAATGAGTAGAGTAATAACAAGTATAAATTATTAGGAGACAACATATTAAATCGTGACATGAAATACACGATATTGCTTAAAGTTATTGTTCATTTGGCATAACCTACATTTTAGCATAATAATACATACATATTGATGAGCACACTAGATAGACTTACAAGCTATATTAATTGCATTGGATGTGTACATGATGTTTTATATTATGATATATATTATATTATAAAAATGTATAAGAAAGAAAGATTAGCTGGAAATGATTGATTAATTCAAGTTGAATAGAAACCTGTCATCCTATATAGGACGGTGGGCCAATGAGTTTTCTTTTAAATAAGGTTTGTGGTAAAATCTTAAGTGAAGTAAAATGTGTGTCATAAGTAGATTGATTGATATGACATAATATGCTGACATACAAGAAGTAATGACTTCTTACATGAAAGCCACACGACTTGAGATAATGATATAATTGGTTCTTATTTACAGAACTGATTTGATTGAGACTGATTCCAATAGGATTGGCCTACAATACTTGATATATCAAAAACACTACAAGAGCTAGATGTTTTGTCTTGCTTAAAGTATGAAATGTATATATAATAGAATTGCATATGTATTGATGAAATAGAGCATGACATGATAACTAAATAACTGATATGATGTGATATGAATATGATACATCACATGACTGATGATGCAAAGATATAACGAGATACTGATACAAAGACATATGATATATTGCATTTATACATGATATAAAATATGATACACATGTATTGATTCTATACGACATACATAGAATAAATATAAGACATTTACTATGATATGACAAGTATACTAATATGCATGACATGAAAAACAAATAAAGTAAAAGTATAATATATAAACATATATAGATTTAGAATTTCACTTGCCGCGTTATACTTGATACAAATACTAAAAAGATAAAATATACTAGTCCTTTTTATGATCATTGAACACTATCAATGAGTTACATTGATTGTATTGATTTATATTATTCATACTAACTGTTACATGCTCATATTAAGCTGATGAATTATTACATACATAATATTTCTTTTATCATGCATTAATTATACTGATAAGTTTGGATAACCTACTAGACTGTTGGCTCATTATATATGGTTTATATATTTTCCAGATGTGATAGGGATCCAACGTAGTGAGGTTGATTTAGGTCTCTGAGATAGGCATTTTTACTCTGTCATTCATTTTAATGGCTGGATTGCATTTAAATAGCATAATCCAATAAATGTACTACTAGTTATTATATATAAATTTTGTAAGAAAGATAGAAATGTATCATTAATGTTTAGTAAATTAAATAAAATTTTAATTTTTGATATTTTACCTTTATATGATGATTAGTAGCTCTAGGTGATTGATAGGAAGATAAAAATATATAATTATTTCTGCTTAGGTCTTGGGCAGATATGTCATGCCAAATCCAATCCAAGATAACTTGTTAGGAGTATGGGCTAAGTTGGGTTGGGAAGTGACAGCCCTTAGATGCCACTTGCTGCTCACCGCTGTTAGCTGCCACCCACTATAACTATTGGCTACCGTTGGTGGAATTTTGAAAGCAGGTTTTTAAAAGCTTAGTTTTCTTTGGGAATTTTGGATTTAAAATTAAATTCTAATTCTAATAATCAAATTGTCCCATTAGAAAGAGTATATCACCTCGAAAGGTGAAAATAAAATTTCATAACGGTGTTCAAATTTAGAATTATGAATCTCATCTTAAATATTGCGACCGGATGTTAAAGAGAACCTCGTATGGCCCTGAAGAGCCAAGGTGAGGTTCAGCTAAATATCCAGCTATAAAAATCAAGAAGTGTGATTATTAAGTTCATATCCAAAGCTTTATCAAGGAAAGATATATATCTCCCCAAAGGGAGAAAATATCGTTCAATGATAATTCTTCAAATACTACGATAACGATCATCTTTAATCTTTTCCAAAGAAATCCAATATAAATTTTGAAAAAAATCAATTTTTAAAATCAGGTGCGTGTGTGGTTCTAAATCTCCTACGAGTGCAAGCCTCGTAGTTAATTACATCGTAGAGAGACAAGGTCCCCTATGAAAACTCTCGATTAAAATAGTGCTAAAATTTTATTAGATTTTCTAGGAGTGATGTCAAAAAGAGGTGAATTTTTGAATCTCAAAAGGGAATAGATCGAAGTTGATCAGTTATTAATAGAATCAAGGGAAGAAAAGTATGATACACTTTGAGATTTCAGAACCATCTGGAAGTGTCCCAACGTAATCTAAGTGTTGGGCTTTATATTTTGGATTGAAAGAAGATTTAATTAGAGTTGAGCATTTTATTAGAAATTTGGGATTAGATTCCCGAAGTTTGGGGTCTTATAATCAAAGATCCACCCCGGATTCTAAATCTAATTTGGACACTGGACCACAGTTGTCCGAACCTAACTAATGCAGTGCAAGGTCTGGACTTACCCTTGCCTGGATTGGGGAGCCAGCTAACCACCTAGTCGATTTAAAATAGATGAGTATGATATTTTGTAAAAGAGTGGTAGGGACCTTTCATTTAAGGTTTTGGAGAGTTGGGGCCGACATCTAGAGATTTTCCTAATTGGACCATTTGACTTATATTGGGTGCAAAATGCTAAAGACTAATGCAATTAAAATTTCTGACTTTTTTTAAATATGTTTCTAATGAAATACATGCTAGTTAAAAACTTCAAATCAAATATGCTTGAAATTTAAAAAATAGGCTTAGAAAATAATTTTTAGAAGACTGGGCTTCCTCAGGTCCGGCACCTTGCCCTCATAGGTCAGACTATCCGGACTCTACCCGAAGGCAAGAAAGGGTCTAAAGAAAGAAAAGAAGTAGTGCATAAATATGCATGCGACCCTGGGTTCGATCCCCAGCTAATTCCCTAGATTCGTTATCTTTCTAAATTATTTAGACTCGCTAAATTTTAAACTTTAAAATTATGAGTATAAAACATTCACATCCTTACGAGTCTCACGTATCCAGACGAAAGTAAAAGCGGCACACAAATGCCAAAAAACTAAAAAAATAGGTAGTTCTATACGCAATCATCTCAGCACATCAAATATAAATGAATTAATTACTAAATATACATAAGTAAATTGCCTTGCTTATTACAAACTATGATCTTATAAAGTAAAGTGGTCGGGCACCACAAACAACAACCTAGATTCTAAACCTAGTAGAGACGCAAGTGGTTTTGAGTGGGATACTTTTAGTCTTTAAATCTTCAATCTTGTTCTCCTTCAGGCTCTTTTCCTTCAAGCACTACAGGAAAAACATCGAAATCTGGCAGTTTTTTCCGGCGGTTAGCCTATATTAACCTGCGATTTTTTTGTCTACCGGCGGCTTTACGGCAGTTTTTGCGTAGGAAACTATTACCGGCGGTTCTTTACCAGCGGTTTATGTTGCCGGCAGTTTTCCGGCGGCTCCGACCGCCGGTTTCAACCGAATTTTGGACCGGCAATTTTCCGGCTGTGACGCCGCCGGTTATTTGACCGACGGCCTACCGGCGGTTTAGTTGGCTGTCGTTTGTTTTTAAAACCACCGGCCTTCACCGGTAGACCGTCGGTTTCTTTACCGGCGGTCTAACCGTCGGTATTACCGACGCTCAGAACCGCCGGATGTCCACCGTAGAATCGCCGGTGGCCGTCAGTAATCACCGGTAATAAACCGACGGTGTAATGCAATTATCGATGGCTGATTATTGGCCGTCTGGTATCGTAGTTTTCGGCGGCCAAACCGCCGGTTAGCCGCCGGAAACCTGTAGCACCTGCAAAAAAAAAATAGACA